TGTCTCTTTCCAGGTCTCTCTCTCTCTCTCTTACCTTTCTTTTTTCCTTGCTTTAAAAGTCTAAGTAGATGTTCATGATGTAACATTAATGACATTAAGACTATTTTAATTAGAAATGTGGTCTTTACTTGATAATACTATTCACTCTATTCAACCTGTCCTATCACATCACCAGATTGAAGAGCTAAAGCACACGGACGCAGATCTGGGTTCTGCTGCATCCTCTCATTACGCGAGAGGTCTCTGCTCCATGCCAAATCTTCGATCACTGTATCTGACCAGAGTGAAGCTAAGTGATGAGTTCTACTCAACGATGGCCTCTGAGGCATCAAAATCAAAGGTTAACCAAACATGATTCCTATTCAAAACGATTTTTGTTTTGCAAATAATTTTACATTCTTTAAATTCCACATATGAGGTAACTGTTTTTTCATTAAAAAAAAGAGAAATTACACATTTCCATTAGTTACAGTCAAGGACTCTCATATCAATATTATGAATAGTTTGGCTATGCTGACAAGGAAAAAGGAATTGTAAATAAAATGAACCTTGGTGTCATAATGATATAAAAGCATATCAAAATGTGTTTTAAAACCACGTATTATACAAATACTATGTCACATTCTATATTGAAAAATCATTTGAATTTCGTCAATAGTCGCAGGAAATCCATTCTACATGTACATGGTAAAGACACAGATATAACCCTTTTATTTTGCTTGAACAGACACAGTCTCTCTTTTCCAACTATTTATAATAGATGACAATTGTTTTTCGTCTCGTCTTTTTTTGCTCGAACCACACCTATTTCCCTCGGGTTATTTCTCTCTATACCTCTGTCTCTTTCCAGGTCTCTCTCTCTCTCTCTCTCTTACCTTTCTTTTTTCCTTGCTTTAAAAGTCTAAGTAGAGGTTCATGATGTAACATTAATGACATTAAGACTATTTTAATTAGAAATGTGGTCTTTACTTGATAATACTATTCACTCTATTCAACCTGTCCTATCACATCACCAGATTGAAGAGCTAAAGCACACGGACGCAGATCTGGGTTCTGCTGCATCCTCTCATTACGCGAGAGGTCTCTGCTCCATGCCAAATCTTCGATCACTGTATCTGACCAGAGTGAAGCTAAGTGATGAGTTCTACTCAACGATGGCCTCTGAGGCATCAAAATCAAAGGTTAACCAAACATGATTCCTATTCAAAACGATTTTTGTTTTGCAAATAATTTTACATTCTTTAAATTCCACATATGAGGTAACTGTTTTTTCATTAAAAAAAAGAGAAATTACACATTTCCATTAGTTACAGTCAAGGACTCTCATATCAATATTATGAATAGTTTGGCTATGCTGACAAGGAAAAAGGAATTGTAAATAAAATGAACCTTGGTGTCATAATGATATAAAAGCATATCAAAATGTGTTTTAAAACCACGTATTATACAAATACTATGTCACATTCTATATTGAAAAATCATTTGAATTTCGTCAATAGTCGCAGGAAATCCATTCTACATGTACATGGTAAAGACACAGATATAACCCTTTTATTTTGCTTGAACAGACACAGTCTCTCTTTTCCAACTATTTATAATAGATGACAATTGTTTTTCGTCTCGTCTTTTTTTGCTCGAACCACACCTATTTCCCTCGGGTTATTTCTCTCTATACCTCTGTCTCTTTCCAGGTCTCTCTCTCTCTCTCTCTCTCTTACCTTTCTTTTTTCCTTGCTTTAAAAGTCTAAGTAGAGGTTCATGATGTAACATTAATGACATTAAGACTATTTTAATTAGAAATGTGGTCTTTACTTGATAATACTATTCACTCTATTCAACCTGTCCTATCACATCACCAGATTGAAGAGCTAAAGCACACGGACGCAGATCTGGGTTCTGCTGCATCCTCTCATTACGCGAGAGGTCTCTGCTCCATGCCAAATCTTCGATCACTGTATCTGACCAGAGTGAAGCTAAGTGATGAGTTCTACTCAACGATGGCCTCTGAGGCATCAAAATCAAAGGTTAACCAAACATGATTCCTATTCAAAACGATTTTTGTTTTGCAAATAATTTTACATTCTTTAAATTCCACATATGAGGTAACTGTTTTTTCATTAAAAAAAAGAGAAATTACACATTTCCATTAGTTACAGTCAAGGACTCTCATATCAATATTATGAATAGTTTGGCTATGCTGACAAGGAAAAAGGAATTGTAAATAAAATGAACCTTGGTGTCATAATGATATAAAAGCATATCAAAATGTGTTTTAAAACCACGTATTATACAAATACTATGTCACATTCTATATTGAAAAATCATTTGAATTTCGTCAATAGTCGCAGGAAATCCATTCTACATGTACATGGTAAAGACACAGATATAACCCTTTTATTTTGCTTGAACAGACACAGTCTCTCTTTTCCAACTATTTATAATAGATGACAATTGTTTTTCGTCTCGTCTTTTTTTGCTCGAACCACACCTATTTCCCTCGGGTTATTTCTCTCTATACCTCTGTCTCTTTCCAGGTCTCTCTCTCTCTCTCTCTTACCTTTCTTTTTTCCTTGCTTTAAAAGTCTAAGTAGATGTTCATGATGTAACATTAATGACATTAAGACTATTTTAATTAGAAATGTGGTCTTTACTTGATAATACTATTCACTCTATTCAACCTGTCCTATCACATCACCAGATTGAAGAGCTAAAGCACACGGACGCAGATCTGGGTTCTGCTGCATCCTCTCATTACGCGAGAGGTCTCTGCTCCATGCCAAATCTTCGATCACTGTATCTGACCAGAGTGAAGCTAAGTGATGAGTTCTACTCAACGATGGCCTCTGAGGCATCAAAATCAAAGGTTAACCAAACATGATTCCTATTCAAAACGATTTTTGTTTTGCAAATAATTTTACATTCTTTAAATTCCACATATGAGGTAACTGTTTTTTCATTAAAAAAAAGAGAAATTACACATTTCATTAGTTACAGTCAAGGACTCTCATATTAATATTATGAATAGTTTGGCTATGCTGCAAGGAAAAAGGAATTGTAAATAAAATGAACCTTGGTGTCAAAATGATATAAAAGCAAATCAAAATGTGTTTTAAAACCACGTATTATACAAATACTATGTCACATTCTATATTGAAAAATCATTTGAATTTTGTCAATAGTCGCAGGAAATCCATTCTACATGTACATGGTAAAGACACAGATATAACGCTTTTATTTTGCTTGAACAGACACAGTCTCTATTTTCCAACTATTTATAATAGATGACAATTGTTTTTCGTCTCGTCTTTTTTTGCCCGAACCACACCTATTTCCCTCGGGTTATTTCTCTCTATACCTCTGTCTCTTTCCAGGTCTCTCTCTCTCTCTTACCTTTCTTTTTTCCTTGCTTTAAAAGTCTAAGTAGAGGTTCATGATGTAACATTAATGACATTAAGACTATTTTAATTAGAAATGTGGTCTTTACTTGATAATACTATTCACTCTATTCAACCTGTCCTATCACATCACCAGATTGAAGAGCTAAAGCACACGGACGCAGGTCTTGGTTCTGCTGCATCCTCTCATTACGCGAGAGGTCTCTGCTCCATGCCAAATCTTCGATCACTGTATCTGACCAGAGTGAAGCTAAGTGATGAGTTCTACTCAACGATGGCCTCTGAGGCATCAAAATCAAAGGTTAACCAAACATGATTACTATTCAAAACGATTTTTGTTTTGCAAATAATTTTACATTCTTTAAATTCCACATATGAGGTAACTGTTTTTTCATATAAAAAAAAGAGAAATTACACATTTCCATTAGTTACAGTCCAGGACTCTCATATCAATATTATGAATAGTTTGGCTATGCTGACAAGGAAAAAGGAATTGTAAATAAAATGAACCTTGGTGTCATAAGGATATAAAAGCATATCAAAATGTGTTTTAAAACCACGTATTATACAAATACTATGTCACATTCTATATTGAAAAATCATTTGAATTTCGTCAATAGTTGCATGAAATTTATTCTACATATGCATGGTAAAGAGACTAATAAAACACTTTTATTTTGCTTCAACAGAAACTGTCTCTCTTACAACTATTTATAATTGATGACAATTGATTTTCTTTTTTCGTCTCGTCTCGTCTTTCTTTGCACTTGCCACACCCATTTCCCTTGGCTTATTTATCTCTATATATTTTCTGTCTATGTCTCTTCCAATGTCTCTCTCTCTCTCTCCCTCTTTTCTTTTGTCCTTGCTTTAATAGTTTGAGTGGAGGTTCATGATTTTTATATTAATGACAGTAAGAATATTTTATTTCACGATGGCCTTTGAGGCATCAAAATCAATGGTAAACCAAACATGTTTTTTCTATTTAAATATAAATAAATTACACATTATCATGAGTTACGAGGACTCTCATATCAATAATATAAATAGTTTGGCTAGGCTTACAAGGAAAAAAAGGACCTGTCAATAGAATGTAGTTTGGTGTCATAATGATATAAAAGCATATCAAAACGTGTTTTAAAAGCACTTATTCTACAAATAGTATTGCGCATTCTATATATTGATTTTTGTTGTGTGTGAATTTTGTCAATAGTCGCAGGAAATTTATTCTACATGTGCATGGTAAATAGAAGGATATAACACTTTTATTTTGCTTCATCAGACACTGTCTCTCTTTTCCAACTAGACTATTCAAAATTGGTGACAATTGTTTTTCTTTCTTCAACTCGTCTTTCTTTGCTCTAACGACACCCATTTCCCCCGGGGTTTTCTCTCCTTCCATATATGTCTCTGTCGCTTTCTCTGCCCGGTCTCTCTCTCTCTCTCTCTCCCTTCTCTTTTCCTTGTTTTAAAAGTCTGAGTAGAGGTTCATGATGTTACATTAATGACAGTAAGAATATTTCAATCGGACATGACTTCTATACTTGATAATACTATTCACTCTCTTCAACCTGTCACGTCACCAGATTGAGAAGCTAGCGCACTATGGCGCAGATCTTGGTTCTCATGCATCCTCTCATTACGCGAGAGGTCTCTGCTCCATGCCATATCTTCGATCACTGGGTCTGCGCAGTGTGGAGCTGAGTGATGAGTTCTACTCGACGATGGCTTCTGAGGCATCAAAATCAAAGGTATACCAAACACGATTTAAATTGTAAACGATTAGTTTCGAAAAAGTGTTGCATTCTTCAAACTCAACATTATAGGGTAGCTAAATTTTCACAATTATTTGTTTTGTTTTCATTAGTTACGAGCGCGCTCATATTAATATGAAAAATAGTTTGGCCATGCTGACAAGGAAATAAATCCTGTGAAAAATTCTTTAAACAAAATATTCATGTGTTGTCAAAAATCTTGGTGAGATTTATATTGGGTAATGTAAAATTGTAAGACTCTAATAGGCCTACTATGGATAACCATACATCATACCTCAGTGTTTATTTCTTCGATTAATAGATAAAGGCAAATAATCTATACAAATTCTTCTTTTTTTTTAATTAAAAAATATTCCTTATTTATTCCTCAACGTATAGTTTATAGCAGGAGATACACAATTTCTGTTACCGTGAATATTTGGATTATAATGTTCTTTTCATTTACAACGCAATAATAACCGATTAAGTTTATATTAAACTTGATGTTATTTACTGATTTTATCCGTAGTCCACATGACCAAGTTCTCAGGTAACAACTATTGCTTAACCCTAATAAGGCCGGGGGGGGCCATTATGGCCCCCCCCCCCCCCTCCACGATTTTTCTGATTGCTCGGGAACGCATACGGATGGCGCCCCGCCGCTCGCTGACTTTTTTCTTTCGAGTCTTGCGCAACTTTTAAAAGAATTTTTTTGAAAATCGGACCTGCGGTTACAAGGTCACGTGACCTTTTGTCTTTGCTTGTCAGCCCGAAAATCGCTCATTTTCGTGATTTGTGTACAAAACATATGGAAAAGTCATTTTTCCTAAAAACAGATCAAATATGGGTTATTGGGTCTTGTTTAAAGTTTAGGTGGTTGTTTTTGGAGTCAAAATAGTTGAATTGTAGTAAGAAATGAAATAAAACAACAAAAACAATGAAAAACATAAGTTAAAAAAACAATGAAATACATAAGAAATTACAAAAACAAGGGATAACATAAGGAATAAGCTGGCTCTTCCAAAATTTTTTGTCGTTTTATTACTCAGAATGGTCTAATGAATATATGTAGTGAAAAAGAATGCTTAAATATGAATAATATATGATTTATGGGTAAAAATGTGATTTTTATGACTTTATTTGCATAAATTACCATAAATATGCAAATGAGTGAATTTTTCAAAAAATTGAAATTATCATATTATTCTATACACTTCACTTGACATGCGTGCAAATTTTCGCGGCAATCGGCCGCTTCGCGGCCGAGATCTTAAGGGGGGGCCATAATGGCCCCCCCCCCCCCCGGCCATACTAAGACCTCAAATAGCCCGGCCTTTTTAGGGTTAAGACGGTTCTCACAATTTTCTTTTAAAATATATCTGATATCAACAATTTAGCAAGCACTATGTCAACTCGGGTGCCTGTCCAGTGACGGATGTATCACATATCTGAAGCAATATGTATTCAAGCGAATGTCCTCTCGTATCTAGTGAATTTAGAAGAATTAATGAAATGGGTAATTATCCACTTTGAAGGAAACGGCTGAGATAAGCCTACTGAAAATAAAGGGGAAAAAGTATAACATACTCTCTTGAAGATATCATGTTAATGTAATCAGCCCACCGATTCAATACCTTAAGTACCTCTATTGCAATACATCATGCCATGCACATTTTTTGTTTATTATAACATGTTGAATCATTTGAACTATAGCAGATATAGAGACGAAATAATCAGACTTAGCGAATGGTAAAGTTACTAAGATACAAATTCATCCGATATTAGCTGTGATTTAAAAAGGTGTTTATGTTTATAGCATAGTGGATTTCACTTTGGTTTGAACTGATAAATTGTCTTGCACAGATCCAGACGCTAAGTATGTGGAAAGTTTCCATAACTCCATGTCGACTACACTCCATTCTCTCGCTACCACGCCTCCAGTCACTCAGCTTGACGGATATGAGACCAGTTGACATGGACGATGGAGAGACACTGGTATGTATTTTTACTATTCCAAGATTAAAGTCAATATCCTCTTTTCGTTCTAAGCTAAAAAAAAAAGGGGTTCAGAAAAGCTATACCGACTAATTATGAATGATAAAGGAATTGCCGAAGGGTAATGTATTTTGTCTTGAAATCAAGTTAAAACAACATACTACGTGCTGTTTAGTAAAACTATGGATAGTAAGCAAATAATTACCGGTGGTGAAGGTGATAAGACAAACTATCACTTCCGAGGCGATCTGGATGCAGCTATCTCTCCGAAGCGAAGCTGAGGAAAGATAGCGTATACATTCAGATCGCCGAGGAAGTGATAGTTTGCCATCGCCTGAAACCAACAGGTTATTATTTGCTTTATATTCCACATCGGAAACATTTCACTTCTTCCGTCATTTTAGAGCAACAAGTCATCAATTAACAGCTCGCAAACGGTGTACGATACGTACAGTGCATGCAGTATGGTGGACTGACCATAGTTTGCGCGTGACCAAAGTTCGCCTTCTAACACTAAAAGCGCTTATCTTGTTGTTTGATTTTATTTTATTTCATTCGTCCACAATGTGGAAATATGCTTTCCACCAGCATTACAATAATACGAGAAACAGAGTTCAATAATATGAATATATGAACAATTAAGCAAACAATTTCAGAACAAAAACAATATCTCGTCATTTCACATAAATAATACAAAATAAGCCATCCAAAATTGTTAAACTTGATTTTTAGATGATTAGAAATATCTTTGAAATAGCTTTATGATAACAGTTTATAAATTCAAATAATTATGATCATTATTGCTATTGGTATTATTATTAATATTATTATTATTATTATTATTATTATTATTATTATTATTATTATTATTATTATCTCTCAACGAATTGGTTGAACATGTGGATAGAGTTTGGTACGAAGGATTGGCGGAAGCGTGCTCGGTTTGTGCGTGGGACGTTTAATCGAATTCCAGAACGGTTGAAAGAATACTGGGTGTTGAGAGGGTGACTTTGATCTTTCATGATTTTGTTTGTTTTGGACATGAGTCTCTGTTCGAACAAACAGTTTATATCAGTCAAATCATGCCCTATCACTCTCTGTGCCGCTCGCCGCACCCGGTCTAAGCGAGTCCGATTTTTCTGGGTCCCATTTCCGTAAAAGCAAATCACGTTGTATGTTAAAATGCTTTGTATTAATGACTGATAGAACAAAACCAGAATTGTTCTGTCAACGTGAATATTGTTCATCATTCTCGGAAAGTAGAGTCTTTGGTTTCCCTTTTACACAATGTTTGTTTGTTTTTAGTCCAGTCTAGAGTGTTGGTAACTATGCTTCCCAGGTACTTGTACTCCTTAACCTGTTCAACCTCCTTATTATGAAGAAATAACGGATCGTGTTTATTTGATTTTTCCCGAAAGTTAAACAACATTTCCTTTGTTTTAGATACGTTTAAGTGGAGGTAGTGCGCATCACACCACTCAATAAAAGCCTTCACCGTTGTGACATAGTCATTTACATTCTCATCAGTAAGATGTCCAGTGATTACCATATCATCAGCATATTTTATGATATTACAATTTTCATTGTCACTGATAATTTTACTAGTATACAGGGAGAAAAGGGCGGGGGATAAAACACATCCCTGCGGGGCACCTGTACTTATTACCTTGGTACAAGATTTAATCACTCCCAATCTTACTGCCTGAGGTCTTTCTAGCAAGAAATTGTGAATCCATCGAACAGTTTGGTGAGAAGCATTCATTTCCAAGAGCTTGGCAGCAAGAAGGTGAGGCATAATTGTGTTAAAAGCACTGGAGAAAGAGTGCCCTTACGAAACTCCCACCGACATCTAGGTGTTTATAAGCCCCATGAAGGAAACATAACACTGCATCGTCGACACCTCTGTTTATGCGGTATGCAAACTGCAGTGGGCCGAGATGCTTATCGACCTGACTCATTAGCTTTTTCAAAACAATCTTTTCTAAGCACTCATGGCATTGCAAGTTAGGGATACAGGCCTAAAGTCTTTGTACTCGGTACATTTATTGCCTTTTGGTACAGGTATTATTGTTGAGGTTTTCCACAAAGTTGGTACGATGCCTAGATTTAACGTTGTTGTTGTTGTTGGGTTTTAATGTTGACCAATCTAAAACGATTATTTCTGCCATGCTCTGCTTTTTTTTTTTTAGTTGTTCATCACTGATGATTAGATGGCGTTGTTCCTTTTCCTCTTCAGTGGGTATCATGTACTGTGCAGCTTCCGTTTATTCGATGGTGCGGGCAATACTTTTAGGTGTCGACCATGAACAGGGTGCGAGTATTTTATTAATAATAGGGGTTAACTGTGCAGTGCTAAACTATACTTTCCCTTCCCTTCCCTTCCTCTCCAAGAGAGTTAGTAATAACTCGTTAGCTATAATGATTGGTATCTACCTGTAGCTTTTATGAAAGCCAACAGAGTGTGCAGATGATCTTCATTCCCCAGTAAATTCTTTAAGTTGATATTCTAAGACAAACCCAAATATTGATATTATTACATCAATAGAAAGCTTTTAACCCCCAGAATAACACTAAATGGTGTCCAACTGACAATTCAAGTTTATAATGGTGACTTTATAACTATCTATAAGTCTGAAACCCGGAAGTGCATGTACAGTCGGGCCTCTATCCGTGACGTCACGAACGGGACTCATGGGCTCAGTGAGAGTGAATGCAGTGATATCCCTACGTAAATGCTATCCTGTCAGAGCTTAGATTTGTTGTTGTTAATGAGTATATTTGATGGATTTTCCGTTTTCATTTGAATGAAGAATAACGAAGCAACATTTTCCAGTCGCTGATTACTTTTTATATCCTCATATTCACCTATTTGGTAGAGATTTAAGACGAGTTTACTGCTTGGGAAACAAGGTTAAATCAGACACGTATGAATAGGCGGATGCATTATCTTGTCATCAGATAAGGTACAGGAGCAGTTTTGTAAAACGAATAGGCCTAGAACTATGATAGTACTTATCATAGATGTGTGTGACTGCCTCAAAAAAGGATACAGTACCAGTTAAACATTTTATGTTGTAAAATATCAAACTTGAACGAGATCATGCAAGCGCGCTTCCTCTATTTTATTTTGACAACGTCTAGTGTTCGAACGATATTCCATCCGCGAGTGATGCGGCTCTTGCACGAACGTTCGTGAAGCGAGCAGAATCGGGAGGTAATAGACCAGGCCGCTGCTCTAGGCACGGCTTGCTTGTGATGGAACGTACGTGCGCTAGTCATATGTTTATCGGCAATTGCAAGAGAATGAAAACGACGTTACCAGCTAAGAAAAACAACTAACAAAGACCTGCCTCTCAGTGACTACCGGTATCAGAATTGCAGATCGCACAATGCACAGCGTGGAAGAAGATGAAGGATCTTCAGGGCCAAGGAAGCTAGGCGAAAGACATGGGGGAAATGAAGAAGAAACCATCGGGAGATCGCTGTATGGTAATGAACTGTGCATGGGTGCACTTACCAGACAGCTACTGTTCACTCCGTGCCTGGGCCGATTTCAACACCAAAACAAAAATTACATGGTGAAAATATCGACTAATAGCACATCGTTGGCATGTATATGTCATAATTTTTAAAAGGGGAATTGATATTAATACTATGAAATATTAGGGGAAGGTAAAAAATTGTACATAGAATTATGATTTATTAGGATTTTCAGCCTTTGAAACAAATAAGCAGAAAATCGTATATCTCTGCACATGCTTTCTATGGAACATCCGGGTACGTGAATATACTCTTTCCCGGACGTGATGTCATATATAGTAGACCAGCGCCGTGACTGATTTGCTATGCAAAGAGAAACAGATATTTTCGACACTTCAATTAAAGATTTCGAGTAGCCAGAATTTTGTTTGTGATATACTATGTAATTATAAAAACTTATAAATAACATATGCTTGCCGTAGGTACCAAATTAAGGGACATTTCTTTGCTTAGAATATCAGCTTTAAACTCTTATCTTTAATTTTCAGAGAAAACAACCTTTTCCTCCCTCGTACGTATTTCTTACACACCAATAAATAATGTTCTATTGTTTTAGTTTCAGGACAAAAATCACAAAGGCCATTTTCATGTATATTAATACTGAATTTGTAAAAGTTTAATTTGCATTTTCCCATTCTCATTTGATGTAATAATCTTTCATCTTTTCTACAAAAGCCAGATAACTAAATAAGTCTCGTTACATATGGATGGATCTGAAATAAGAATCTACCTTTGTCTATTGCTTCCAACTGATTCTGCCATAAATGCTGATAAAAATGGCGCATGTGGTTAGTTAATTCAGACCTATTCCGTGGTAAAGTTACATCTATGTGTTCTTTTTTGTGTTGCATTTTTAGCCAAACTGTCGGCTTTTTCGTTTCCCAGTAGGTCACAATATGCAGGTATCCACTCAAACTGTATGTCTATACCAACAACGCTTAATTGTGTCAATTTCTCCGATATTTCAATAACTTGTTTGTTTGTTTGTTTGTTTGTTTTATTTCCGAAAATCATCATAAAAAAACAATAACACAATATAACAAAATCAAAGACTTATATATCAATGATAGAATGATAAAACGGTTGGATAGTCCATTTCAGAGCCATTAACCTAATGGCTCTGTTCTTCCATGGAGTCCAATATATATATAATGATACTATAATAAGTAATGACATAACAAAATAGTAAGTCGTAATTAAAAAAAAAAAAAAAAACACAAAAACATTGTACTTGTACTTAACTTAACTAAATCAAATTAAATTAAATTAAACAAAAAACACTAACAAAAAGCATTAAAATCTATTCAAATATCCCCTACCATCCCTAATGTAACAAAATACGACCCCAACCTTATCACCCACCCTGCTAACAATTAACTTAATTAGTTTTACAATATTCTACACATTATCTAATTTAGTCTGTTTATTAAATTGATTATTTTCATGGCAAAAGCCAATGG